TTTCCTTAGACGTGTCTTCTCCTTCCTCTCCTTAAGGTAACTCCGCAATCTTAGGTAACTCTGCCTCTGTATTAGGCGGAGTCTAGTCTAATAGATTCGGATTCGGTTCTTTGTTATTAAAGCAAGACTCGTCTACTATCTCTTCCTCGCTTCGTCTAAGGGTAGTATTTTCTCTAGCTAAGCTCCCTCGGGATCTTCGTAGGAAGAAGTTAGCTCCTATCTTAGAAGAGTAGTATATCGTATATAAGTCGTCGTAGTAGAAACGCTAGTGAAGGCTTCTATACCCAAGACGAGACTCGTGCTCTGTCTCTTAGCTAACTCGCCGCTGGATTATATTAAACTGTCGTGATCCTTAAGACATTCTTATAGCGTAGTCCACCTAATCTTCGTCGGTATAGTCGGGCGGCGGTGTGTCGCCCCGACTACTTTTACTCTAGTCTATAGTAGAGTAGCGTATGTCGCGGGCTACTACCTCGCGATCTTGCGCGCCGAGAGCGTTACGGAGCTAAGTTACGACGGCGAGCTATTATTAAGTTTTCTTGTAGTAGCTAGCCCGTAACTCCTCGTAGACCCTTACGTCTTCGCGGGTCTAGTAGCGGCTCTCTCTGATTTCGTCTAACTGGATATTAATAGCCTTTAGCTCGTTATACAGTTGGACCTTGTAGTGCTTAAGTACGTTAACGAGATTCTCCGTTTCGGTAGGTTGCCGTTGTTGTATTATATTAAATTCCGCTCGTTACACCTTGTTCTTCGAGCGGCATTCCCTTACTATATAGCCTAGTTTGCCGTATCTATAGTATATTAGTATTTTAGATCCTTTAGAACCTCCTAGGTTCCCTCGTTTCCTGTTCGTGCCCTTAACCTTACGTCCCTTCTGCGTAGTATTAAACTTATAGTCCATAGTATCGGGGTCGCGCCTAGCGGGTTTGTTACTGTAAGAGCCGTAGCTCCGATTGTTATTTAGAACATAGCCTGCTTTTCCGGCGGTCTTGGAGTCGTATCGGCGCTCTAAGGCTCTCTCGTAGAGCTTGTCGTCAAGGTCAATAGTAACCCTAACTAATTCTCCTAGGTTGTTAATAGATCTCCTATTACGTATAAGCTTATCTTTCACCGATTCCTTAAGTCCTCGGCGGTACATAACTTGTAGAGCTTTATCGTCCTAGTCCGTAAGTTAAGCGTATTCCTAGAACTTAGCGGCGTACTCGGCAGTGGATGTCTTCTAAGTCATGTGTTAAATAACCCTAGTAGCGGTAGCTACTTCGTTAGATTGTCTAAAGAGTCTCCTTATAGTAAGCTTTAGGGCTTAGTACGAGTAGAAGACTCCTTCGGTATTATCGGTTCCGTTACTATCGAGGTACGTACGGAGAAATAGTTTAACCTAGTGCTAGGCCCTTCCTCTTATAAAGGTAGTCGCGAAAACTAGTTTGAGGTTCTCGGCTATAGGGTTGAACATGAAGTACATATCTATCTAGTTAACCTATAGGTCGAACTTGTCGCGATCTCTATAGAAGTAGTCGGGCTTGCCGACCTTAAGGTTGTCGTGTCTAGTATAGTTAGCTAAAGAGTTGATAGTATCGTTAGCGGTCCTTCGGGCGGTTCCTACCTTAGAGGGGGCGGGGGTTCCCCTCGTACTAGATCGATCTCCTATCGTAGAGGGCGTTTAAAGCTGTTAGGATCGGTTCGTTAATCCTAGAATCTTACTTAGCACGGGTGCTGAGCTCAAGTCCTTAGTTAGAGCTCGTTAAGGGGAGAGAGTCGATAGACTACTAAGATAATCTAGAGGCAGAGGTTCAGGTGTTTTGTTAAACTAAACAGTAAGATTAAACAGTAAGTTGAACGCTATTGTACAAACTACAATGTCGTTCCTATATACAAAAGGAAAAGCGCGAAGAGCGCTGTAGGCGCAAAGAGCGCTAGTCGCTAAGGCCGCGAAGGGCGTTCGTTACGCGCATGTGTCTCGAAGGATAAGCGCTAGCTTTAGTGCCTAAGGCTATGCTAAGCTGCGCGCTTCAAACTTCGATCCGTAACACTATCCCCCTTCTAGCTTAGCTTCGTCCTCGAAGCTAGTTTATAAGTCGGGCCGACCCCGCCTAGTTGACGTCGTGTTATAGCTAAAGATACCTCGTCGTCCTCCTCCTACCTCTTCTCGACGCGACGAACTTAGCGAGTCGATTAACGCCTTCCGAGGAATAATGCTAACGCCGTGTTCTAGTTATCGTCGCGTAGACACGCGGTGCCTTGTCGACGTTCGTTCTAGTCGCTACAAAAGATACAAGGACAACTATTACAAGTATAACCTCCGGGTCACCTTTTCGGAGTTCGAGCGGTTAGCGAAGTAGAGAGACAGTATCTATAAGAAAGTAGAGGAAGCCGAGGATAAGTTAGAGGATATAGAGAGGGAGGCGGCCGAAATAATTAAGGCCGCGTACGAGAAAGTCCGTTAGGCACGGGCGAAAGCCCGGCGGCTACGTAAGCAAGCCCGGTTCGCTAGTTCTAAGGAAGATAATATATATAGTCGGGAGCTTACAGGTATCGAGGAGGTCGAGCGGCTGGAGCAGCCCCCGGAGCCTACTAACTTGTCGCTTAATACTTCGCTCGAGTAGCTCTTAGCGAGCGGCGAGTTGCTCGACTTTCCTCTAGACGAGGGGATCGGTTCTAAAGCCCTCGAGGCGTCGCCGATAGCTTAGGGCCTAATAACGGGTTCCGTTTTTCCTAGTGAAACTGCCGTAGGAGTTAGTAGTAGTTCGTAAGGTGTTTCTTTAGTTCCTAGGTATTTTCCGAGTCCGGGTATCCTCTCCACTTAATGAGGTATTTCTAACCCTTTCGTTCTAGGATCCTTTCGACTTCGAAGGTGTCTTCTTCTTCCGGCTAGAAGTAGAACGTCGTTTAGTAAGGTGTTTCGGGGTCTACTAGTTTAAGTAAGGATACGTAGAACACAGGGTGTATTCGGGCGTCGGGTAGTAGTTAGAGTCGGTAGTTAACTAGTCCTCGTTGTTCGTTAATCAAAAATGGTCCGACTTTAACCTAGTCCAATTTCCTAGTCTTTCTTCTCGTCTTCAAGTTTTTTGTATAAAGATAGACCTTATCCCCCTTTTTAAGGTAAGGTGCCATTTTGCGTTTAGCATTTCGAGGTCTAGTAAGAGCTTCTTAGGATTATATAATTCGTTTCCCGAGATAGTCGTAGAGTCCTCGTAGGTCCTAGGTAGCAACTATTACGGCTTGTGCCTAGGGATAACCCTTTTCTTCTCCGAACAGGTTAGGCTACTTTCCAAAATTGCTAAAGAATAGGCTTACACCTGTTATATCGGAGATCTAATTGTTTAGTACAAGTTGTGCTATAGGCAGCAGCGATGCCTAATTGTCTTGTACGTAGTTAATATAGTGTCGTAAGTATTGTTCTAGGGTTTGATTTATCCGCTCGGTTTGTCTATCGGTTTCTAGGTAGTATACTGTCGAGAGCTTGTGTTTAATACTAATCGTAGCAACTAAGGTTTTCTAGTAGTTGGACGTAAAGAGCTTGTCTCTATCGGTGATAAAGACCTTTAGGAATCCGTAATGTCGTACTAGTCGGTCTAGAACAACGTGTCCGAGCTGTTCTACAGTGTATGTTTCTGTTCCGGGAATAAAGTGTGTATATTTTGTTAAACGGTCGACCATGACTAGTATTATGTCGTATTCTTAGCCTGTAGCCTTGTCCTTTGAGGTAGGGAGCTTAGTTATAAAGTCTATCGTAACCTTATCCTATAGTGCAGTCGTAGGAGTTCGGAACTATATATGTCCATACCTAGCGTGTCTTGAAGCCTTGTTTTGTTAGCACCTAGTGCACTTCTTAATATAGGTAAGCACTTTTCGTCTTATCTGTAGGAATAAGAAGCTTCGCTAGATTAGTTCTATAGTTTTTGTTGTTCCTAGATAACTATATAGCTCGCTGTCGTGATGTTGTCGTATACATTCTTCCTCTCGTTCCTTAGGAACCTAGTACTTTCCTTGTAATATAGGAAACTGTTCTTCCTCGTCCTGAAGAACACGCACAATATTATTAAACTCGTTTAAGTTAGTACTTAAGCTTCCGTCCTAGTTTGTTTTTAGGATCTGTTATTACACTAGTTCCTTTCCTTCTATGTAGTTACTTCTTCGGCTTAGCGCGTCGGCCCTACCGTTGTCCTTTCCTAGGGTATAGCGGATTTCGAACTTGTATTAACCGAGCAGTTCCGACTAGCGGGACTGTCTTCGTGTTAGCACTTTCGTCGTAGTGAAGTACGTTAGATTCTTATAATTAGTAAGGATCGTTAGTTTAGGCGAACCCTCCGCGTATATTCTTTAGTGTATTAGAGATACGATAATAGCGAGAAGTTCCTTGTTATAGATGTCGTAGTTCTGTTCCGCGGGAGTTATCTTTCTTAAGTAGTAGGCTACTAGGTGTCGTTTCCTATTATGCTCCTACGTGAGGTATGCTCCTATAGCTATATCTGATATATCTGTTTCGAGGAAGACCGGCAGTTTTCCGTCGAACAGCTTTAGTATAGGGGTAGAAACATATATATCGATTATTTTCTAGAATACTTCCTAGTGTTTTCGTTCCTACTTCTACTTAGTGTCCTTCTTAGTAAGGTCTAATAGTGTCGAAGACGTCGCTAAATAGTTCTAGATAAACTTTCTGTTATAGTTCGCTAGTCCTAGGAATACCTACACGTCCTTAACGTATTTTGGAGTTAGCTATTCCCTAAGTAATACGATCTTGTCCGGATCGATCGTTATTCCTGTTAGGCTAATAATGAAGCCTAGGAACTTGACTCGTTATTTGTAGAATTCGCATTTTTCGGGGGCTGTACGAAAGCCTACCCGCGTAAGTCGTTCGAACACGTCTTGTACCTGCTTAATATAAGTCTCGAGGGAACCCTTAGTATATACAAGTATATCGTCTATATAGGCGATTACTGTAACGTCTAGGAGATCTCTAAGGATACTGTTAACTATGTCTTAGCAAGATACTAGCGCGTTAGTCAGCCCCATGGGCATGACTAAGAACTTATAGAGTCCGTATCGTGTTCGGAATGCTGTTTTCCATTCTTCCCCTAGTGCTATGCGTATAGTATAGAAGGCGTCTCGTAAGTCGATCTTCGTGTACTAATATGACCTAGTAAGTCTATTTTGTAGTTCTTCGATATTCGGTAGCGGATATCGGTTCTTAATAGTTATCTCGTTAAGACCTCTATAGTCTATAACTATCCTCTTTTTCCCGTTAGGTTTCGGAACGAACATAGTTAGTGCCCCGGCACTAGATGTCGACTTCCTAATCTAGCCCTTTCCGAGTATTATTTTTAACTATCTATCTTCCTCTTAAAGTTCTTCCTAGGATTTCTTGTATAAGGCTCTAAATAGGGGCTCCTTTTTAGGTATAAGCTTAATTCGGTAGTCCTATTCCTAATATTTAGGTAGGGTACTAGGTCCCGTGTCCTCTTTAAAGAGCTTCGACTACTTCCGATACTCTTTAGGGATACCTAGGGCGTTACCCCCTAGCTTCCTAGATAGTGCGTTAGTTCTATCTATACTCGTAACTTATTAACCTACCGAGCTAGTAATGTCCGTTCGAGGTGAATCTAGTTCTCTAGTTCGTTTCGGCGCAAGCTGTAACTCGTTTAGCTGTCTTGCCTCATCTACTAGAGGACTCTGCCTCTACGTAGGGTAAATATCGATAACGTAATCGCATTTCTCAAACTTGAGTACTCCTACCTACTAATCGATAACAGGGTTGTACTTTCTTAACTAAAGTATACCTAGAACTATGTCGTGACTAGCTAAGTCGAAGACGTCTAGGACAATTTCCTCGTAGTGCCGTTAGATAGCAAGTAGTAACGGAATCGTCTCTCGTTCTACCTTAGGTAGGGGCGAGCTATCTACTACGAGATACTCGTATACCTCCCGTTTCCGACAAGTAGCTAACTTGTACTGATCGATAAATTCTTTAGAGGCAAAGTTCCCGCTCGCTCCTAAATCTATTATCGCGGTCGTGCGGTGTCCGTTTATGTTAATTTAGGTCCTAAAGACTAGTAATGCTTGAGCGCTTTATATGTTAAGGAACTCCCTTTAGACGCTTATTCCTAGGGAGT